GCGCCGGTGCTTCGTATCATGCTAAGGTTTCCACTTTTTTGACTTCGTTTACTTTGCCACATAAAGGGATTTTGTTATTTTAACTTCCTGCAGAAGAAAGTCGTTGACTTGGCTCATGCTCGTCAACGTCTGAAGCACTGCGTTCTATGTTTAGCTTTGACTGAAGAGCAAATGGATGAGTTCATAAGCGAAAGCGCTACCAAAGCCGGTTAGTTGAGTATCTTCTGTTTCCCTCTATTTCTCTACCAATCTTCATATAGGTGTGCATTTCAGCAGCTCTGCTTGACGAAGGTCTACTTTTGGACGTTAAAGCGCGTGTAGTTCTGGGAAAGGAGTTGCGAAATTACGAATCTCAAGCAATCGTTGTAGAGGAAAATGGATTAGAACTAGCTAGGGTGAGTTCTTTGACTAAGGCAATAATGGATTGAATTTGGAAGTTTGAATTTTCCTTGCGATAAGAGGGCGGCTGTTTCTTCTCAAGCATGAGACGAAAACCTTATGCGTTGTTAAAATTACTTTGGCCGCACATACAATATAGGAAGAAGTTCGGCTTTAGAAAGGTTAAGAACTTGCATATCATCCGAGCGCTTTGCATATCCACTTCCCTACTGGACTCACCCCATGAAATTCACTTGAAATCATGATTAGAAGTGTTAATTGTTGATTGATTATTGCTGCCTACGTAATTCTACTATATGTGTTCAGATATCCCGCATCGGTGATTACATTTCTCGACGTCTCAATATCAAAGTCGATTCTGAATCATTCGTACACATGGTGTACGTGGAAACGGACATAGATCGAGTACTGGCTCGGTTAATTGACGGCCTATGTGAAGGCAAAGATGTGCCCAAAAGTCTTAGGGATTACGTTCGTGCAGAAGATTTGGTGTAAATAAAGCAGAGTTTATTTATTATTTGTGTGTATTGATAGTTTTCTTTTTCAATGTAGGCGCTAGAGAAGATCATCTCCTTTCGTTTGCAAAGTCCCCTCGTTGTAAAAATACTGGGAAATTGTGATTTCTCTTATGATCTCTTATGATGCAGTTGTACTACTGCCACTTCATGAGAAGAGCATCAGAATTAATAGGAGAATTACAAGTTCAAGACAGGCCGATAACCGTTATCTTTCTCATTTATAAAGCAGTAACTTGGTTTGTCGGTTTGTCGGTTTGTCTGTCTGTCCGTCCGCAAAACTTTATGATTACGATAAAGGCAATGATATGGGAAATCCAGCTTTCACTTTTCCTTCTTATATGTAAAGCAGTAACTCGGTGGTGTGTAGGTTAATGGAGTGGAGCGAGTGCTGCGGAATCATTATCCACATCATCCGAAATAAGGAAAATCAGCATGAACAGATGAACGGAAAGTAAGCATCGATATCACTGAAGAAGAGGTAGCAAAGTCCCCTCGTTGTAAAAATACTGGGAAATTGTGATTTCTCTTATGATCTCTTATGATGCAGTTGTACTACTGCCACTTCATGAGAAGAGCATCAGAATTAATAGGAGAATTACAAGTTCAAGACAGGCCGATAACCGTTATCTTTCTCATTTATAAAGCAGTAACTTGGTTTGTCGGTTTGTCGGTTTGTCTGTCTGTCCGTCCGCAAAACTTTATGATTACGATAAAGGCAATGATATGGGAAATCCAGCTTTCACTTTTCCTTCTTATATGTAAAGCAGTAACTCGGTGGTGTGTAGGTTAATGGAGTGGAGCGAGTGCTGCGGAATCATTATCCACATCATCCGAAATAGGGAAAATCAGCATGAACAGATGAACGGAAAGTAAGCATCGATATCACTGAAGAAGAGGTACACTGTTTTCGAATCCTTATTGAGTAGAAAAAAGTGTAAAACGTGCCCTATTCAAGCACACGTAGTCTAATAGCGCTGACTGAGGAACCTGATTCTTACAGACACAAGGTGGCTTTGGCTAAACTATGAGGTGTGGTGAAGTGAGGGACTGACGCTCTCGGCAGAATTAAAGCTTTTTTCAAGTGGCTGTCTCGGTAAATACTATGACCTGAACCTGAGAATAAATTTCGGAACGGTATGTGTTTCAAGCATACGTTTCTGGAATGCTCCTAGATCATTCCCTCTAGAAGAGGTTGGTTCTTACAGAATTGATTGCGTTGACTGAAGGTGCTCCATGATGGAGCATTCGGGTAGAATGGTTGAAAGTATTATCAGTTCTTCAGTTGTTCCGAAATTTTCCAAGAGGTACGCTTTACATGTGTATCTCTAAACCATCAGCGCAGGTTTCGTCTGAGGAATCTGAGTCATACACACCCAAAGGCATGCCTGGCTCTGGCAAAACTATGTGGTGTGGTGAGGTGAGGAACTGACGCTCTCGGCAGAATTGAAACTTTTTTGGAAAGGCTGCATCGGTAAATCTGGCTGTTGGGTTCGTGCGAAAACTTCGGAACGGCATGTACATCAAACATACGATTTTCTGAATACCCCGTGTAAATGCCCATTAAAAAATGTGGCTCTTACAGATTTGATTGCGGTGACTATAGATGCTCCCAGAATGAGCATATGGCTAGAATGGTATTACCAGTTCCTCTGTTGATTCAGAATTTTTCAAGTGGTACGCTTCACGTGAGTATCCCTAACGACCATCAACGCAGATTTCGGCAGAGGAATTCAGATCCTCACAGAACTGAAGGCATCCCTGGCTCTGGCTCTATGTGGTGTGGTGAGGTGAAGCGTTGCTCTCGGCTGAATTAAAACTTTTTTGACGAGGCTGCAACGGTAGATCTAACCCGAATTCGAACCAAAATTTCAGAACGGTATACGTTTTCGGACATGCCTTTTTTTGATTACCCCTAGGAGATTCTTCGAAGAGGACGCGATTCTCTCTAAATCGACTGGGAGCACGGTTCATTCTGAATCATAACTTTTTATGTGAAACGGGTTTCAAAGAAACACGAGTCGCATGATTATTATGGGCCTGATGCCATTATACTTCTGCTATTTTCGTTGGGTAAGGTAAGAAAATTATCTCTACGCGTATGTGAAGCAAATTCGACCGTCTCAATAAGTCTGACACATTCCGAGTGGGTCAAACTTTTTGTAGTGTATGAACTCCAGTCACAAAGATTCTTTGTCATAAAAAGTGTTAGTCATTATTAGAATGAAATAGTTCCATTTCATGTTCATCGAAAGGAAGTCCCAGATTGTTTGTACCAATGTTTGTCCCTATTACGTAAGAAGGAGGATGCCCGACGTAGCCGGTCATTACAAAAGAAGGAGGAGAGCCCGGCGTTAGCTGGACAATCCGACTGGTAATATGAATAATGTAGAAAGGTATACTGCTCAATTTGAAAACAGCAATGAAAACGGTACACCTTCTGATTCAGGGTTCGATTGTAATATAGGCGATAGGAGTCCTCCCATCCAGAACAAAAATTGATTGGATACGTCCTGAAACGGACGAGTTTTCAGAGGGATCGGGTCCAGCCGGAACAGTTCTACCAGCAAGTAGGGTGTCAGATGCGTCTGCTCATGCTCACTTCAAAACGGTTTTTTTTTTACATTCCACAAGTGAAGAAAGTAAAACAGCGAAGGCCAGTTCGGCATGTGGGCGGTGTTATCTGAATTTCGAGATTGTGCATCGCATCGTTCAATCCTTCGGTGGGAGGATATGGATGGTTACATTGACAACTCAGTCTGCATTCCTCTAAGTCTTTTTGTGAGTAGGGACTGGTTTGACGACTGCTCAGCCACTAGTTTGATTGAGCTGGCTTGCTTCCAACGCCTACACTACAAGTACTGCAGGGATGGAATCCTGAGCACCAATCTTGCCCTTTCGGGTCAAAAGTTCCAACACTTTGCGAGCAGTCATTACTAGAGCATGGATTTTTTCACAAATCTAATGCCGGCAAATGCGGGCTGGTCTTATTGGGATCTTTTATCAACGTAGTTTATCTGTGATTATGGCATACAGTACAGTCTCATTTCAATCGCCTTTCGTCAGCTGTCTGGTATCGTCGTAATGCACCATGGCCTACAATAATGAAGAGGTATGATTCAAGTTCTGTACTCAGAAATTCTATGTGGTGAGGGAGGGATGGTGTTATACTCTGCGAAAGCTGCTGCTGCTGAATGCCAGTGACCAAAATCAGAAATAGTGTTTTCGTGAAAGAGACGGAGGATGACAGAGCACTGGGAAGATGTTGGTTCACCAACATTGATAATTTAGGTTTCCTCTGAATCTTCTCTCTCTAACATTTTTCGTTTTACCCGTGCGAACACTTTTCAGATGCCTTTTAGTTTTCGACCAGTTTGGTCCCATTGTTTTTCATGTAGGATACATTGGTTTTCGAAAGTGTATGTAGCGTTTTTACGGCTAACGCGCTCTGGTAAGGACGCTGTAAGAGCTCAAATTCGCCAACTCCGCCTATTTCAGCACTGATGGGCGCGGTTGGCAGGCGAGCTTTGGACTCTTACTGCGCTATTTCCACACCATTGCCTATAATACAATTCTTTGAAAGCCAAGATGTCATTTCAGACCCTACTTAGAATCGATCTGACCGTAAATTGTGACGCTAAACAAACAAATAAACAAATCAACTCTGGTCGTCCTTTTTTAGGAATGCAAGAATGAATCCCTTCTATTGGGTATTATAATAGCTATATTTCTTCTATTTATCTATCTGATGACGTTATTCCTTTATCCAAGGCCAAAACGTATGCGTAGTTGCAATTACGTCAGTATCGAATTGCCGAGTGCGGTGGGTGTTTTATAGTAATCGGGTACTTGTAAACAAAACTAGGTAAAGTAACGTCTTCGAATTATGAAAATAGGAGGTCCCCCTTATACTGTCCCCGGGAGGACAGGTAGCCGCCACCTCAGAGACTTCGATTTTGGCTGGAGTTCGAATGCAAGGCGTATCTCAGAGCGATCGATATTCGTTGCCATATCGAATTTTGACCCTTTTCGTACAAAGCGACTCGAAGGAGCGACTAATTTGCTGATCATCCTAAAATAGCTATTCGGATTCTTTTACATTCTATTTTGGTAATTATTTATTCTATTTCGGGGATTGATTGAGTTTATATTCAGATTTACAAAGGCAACAATTTTATTGGAGTCGGTTCTGGACCTTCGGGTGCTCCAACACTTCCATCACTATTTCTCACCGCGGCAGAATTAGCCGCATTTGCTTATGAACCTATGGCTCCTCGACGATCATTGCAACTCTCTCCCGAGGTAATCCTCTATCTCACCTGTTTTCGCAGGTGAAAGACGCTACACTTAAATTGTATGCCGCGCGCGGCGAGACAACTATCTAGAAATTGTCGCGCTGCCAGCGAGTCGGGCATAATGCCACGCTTGTCTGTTCGAAATTTGAATGAGTGTTACTGCGTGATTCCGCTGGACCTCCAGAGATGAATTATACCATCTTTCAAAGCACCGAAAACTGCATGAGCTCTTTTTCTGTCGTTTTCTC